AAGAGTAATAAATAATATTTTTAAAAGACCTTTCCTGCTAAGTTTTTGGCATTTATTTTGAGGTCTTAAACTTGGTAATGTTTTATATATTTTTTTATAATCAGCTTTACTCTGAATTTAAGCTAATAAAACAAATGTTTAAGCTATAAATTTATGCTACTTGAATATTTATAAAAAAATATTTTCATATCATGTCTATTGATTAATAATTACTGTTATAATTGTTAAATATAAACTCGGGCTTAGTCCTTTTTAGAGAGAATTACATGAGTGTTTACACAAACACAAAACTTTTAGAAGTGGAATTTGAATAAAATACATCAATTCTATCTAGGTTCTCCTATAGATTTGTGAAAAAACTTTAAATAAACTTTATTTTTAATTAAATAAAAAAAGTATAATTAATATTAAATGGTTAAATGTATGCAAACTTAAAATAAAAACCCAAACGTCATTTTTTTAAATCACACAAAAGCTTCCACAAAAGCTTTTAAAAGCTTTCGACTTTAGCTATATAGCTAAGACGTTTTAGCTATATAGCTAAGACGTTTTTGAACGTGTTTTCCATTTATTCCGCTTGGTGGCGTTTTCTGTGTGTATGTAAATAATTCTATTCATATAGCGACACCTGGTGGCTCACTATACCTAAAGGCAGACCTTTCTAGATCCAAAGCAAGAAACTAGAGGGCGCTGTACCTAAGAAGAGTCTCACCGCGATATGGCAACGCCAAACGGAGAGGCGGTAATTAAAAAAAATATTTAAAATATTTTCATAAAAAAATAGAAACTAATTTATTTACTTTAATAATTTTTAATAAAAGCAAGACGTTTTACCAGTACAAAATTATCAGCTGCTTGATTTACACATAATTTGTAAATAAAATAAAATTTCATAATAGTTTATAAATAAAATTAAACTCCAATTAAATAAAGTAATGTAACCCGTCTGAAACCATTTACAGTGCAAAACTGGTTGATATTATTTGAAATATATTTTATTGGTAGGCAGTTTTGAAGAACATTTGTAATGACATTTATATATAATGAACATGTTTCAAATAATCATTTTCATCTCGCTTTACTTTCCTCTCCCATTCTTTTTTTTTTTTAATATTCTTCTATGTATGTATGTATATAATAAATTTATTTACTTTATTATTATTTTTATTATTATATTTATTATTATTATTATTTTTATTTTATATTTTCCCACCTCTCCTCTAATCGGTTTTTACTTTGTTTAGTTGCTGCGGTTGCGTTTTTTTTTGTTTTTTACCGTTTATGTTGCTCTTTGTTGTTGTTCTTTGTGGTTGATTCATAATTTGTTGTCATATACCTTGTAAACTTATGTAGTTTCATATATGTATAATTTATATATATATATATATGTATATATATGTGTGTATATATAATGGCTTACTATAAGTTACTTAAAAAACATTATATAATAAATATTTACTCGTACTTTATGTGTATGCCTCCCCCTTGTTTCCGTTCACGTTACTTTTACTACTCCTCCTTAAAGTTCCAGTACTCAGAGCGACAGAATTTAGATTTGGAGCCCGAATAATGACGAAGGACGAGAAAGTGACAGCGAAAAAGTGTCAGACTCAACGGTGGCATAGTGTGCCCGTTCAACTATCGGTGTTTTGTGTCTGTCTATTGACTGGCCACACTGTGTCGAATTGCGATATACTTTCAGCTTTCCAAACGCGGCGTTCGATCTGAGTACTGGGCTTTACTTCATATATTTGTATAATATATGTATGTATATATATATATATTCTTTTATTTTACTTTATTTTATTTATCAATAATTATTACCAATATCGTAGATCACCAAACTTGTTTTAAAAAAATGTTTACACGAAATTGATGTTGTCTTTCTCTGCGGATTTCATTATCTGGTTTCGGAATTGGGGAGTTCAGTTTCGGATTTACGTTATCTTTCTAGGGATTTTCCACTGTTTCTGTTCTGCCTCTTCCTCTCTATCCAAGTTTTTGCTCTGACTACGATCTTCGGCTCTGATGGATGATGCTGGGTATCTGTCGTATCTATATAATTTGCGCTCGCTTTTTATATCATATTCATGTATATTTCTATATTCATCTATCGTATGCTTTGCTCTAGTCATAAATATGTATATATTTATTTATATGTATATATATAGATAGGTCTATGTACAGAGAAGTACACAATGGGGGCTAATTAATTAATCGCTTGCATTATCGATAGGTAATTCTCGACTTGTCATCGATATCTTCCCATATAAATTCATTTAGTGGCCTTGCCCGGGATCGTTTTATATTTTTTTGCCTGATATCTGTGTGTGTGTTAGTGTGTGAGTGTGCCTATATTGAGTTTACAATTTGCTAAATTACATTATTCGAGACTTGGGTTTGCTTTCGTTTGTATTTTTTGTTTTTTTTTGTTTGCTAGAGTTGTATAGAAAAAGTCGACAAAGCTTTCCTGGCTATCCTTTAGTTTCGTATTTGTATTTGTTTTAGTTTTAGTTTTCTTGTATTTGTAAGTAGGGTACACGACGGCGGGGATAATATGATTAAAGTGTCTTTACGGCAAATACTATAAGTAGATAGTACACCGTTAGTTCATGTTCTTATTCTCAGATTTGTTCGTTACTGCGCTGCTGCTGTAATTGAGACTATCTAGGCTAACAATACGATACGTGGTAAGTTAAGTTTAGTTAAGTTAAGTTAAGTAGTTAAAGGCAAACGTTTCTTCCATCTTCTATATAACTCGAGATCGAGAGTGAAAGTGAAAGTGACTGGGTGACCAAGTGGAACTCGCAGCGTTAGGAAATCGCTTTTCAAAATTTGTGGATGCTACGGATATCGGATATCTAGCACTCTCCTGCCTCAGATATGTTGGCTTCCATAAAGCAATTCGTTCGTAAAAAATGTATCTACTTTGATCCATCTGTATCTGTATCTGAGATCGTGTGTATCTGTATCTGAGAGTGTGTGAGTGTGTTTCATGATGTGTCCTTGTGGGTGGTTGTATTGTCAACGTGTGTGTTATCTCAGGAGCCCAGGAGCCAGAGTGATGTGTAGGTCCTACGGTGAAGTTAGTTCGGTTTGATTTGTCGATAGTTAATTGTTCTCGTGATCTCAATGGTCTGCGTATAGGTTGATTTCATATTATTATATCGTTATATATATATATATAGGTTAACTTTCATATATAATACAGTTGCTGTTATGCTTACACAACTAGACACTTATGTACACTTCTGTCGAACACGAAGATGTAACTAATTATTACTTGACGCTCGAACTCGCATTGATTCCTGCCCTACTTCAACTGCACCGTAAAAAACCCGATGTTCCTGGTATAGGAACTTTTTGGGGACCTTTTTGGCGAGAGAGAAAGGGAGAGAAATGGGGGCGAAAGGAGTACCCTAACATATGTACACAAATCGAACGATCGCAGAAGCGAGGAGTCAAAGCAAAGAATGCAGCTCTAACGTTATTTTCTTGGTCGTTAATCGATTATCTAAATGGTGGCGAGTGCTTCATCGATCGAAGAATCGATACCTCCTCGTTCTACTAGGTGCGGAAAGATCTGCGGTTAATTTGAAGCGCTAAGCAGAGTCTCCCTCTGGGGTCTACTACTCCTTCGTTCTGGGGTTATGATATAGGCTTGTATGATATGATTGTGTTGTGTCTTTTGCTTCGTATCTTTTGCTGAATGTCATCGTGGATTGGGCTTCTTTATGTATGGTAACCGAAAGTCAAACAAGGCGATAATCTAATTGATAATCCCTAGGCCTAAGCGAACCCTCAAATTCCGTTCTATCAAATATGCTTGCTTACACTGGCAGTGATGACTCCTTACTTTCTCCTACGCTATCTCACGTATTCTTTCCTATACTCCATCTTAATTTCATTCTAGACAAATTATACAGAACCGAAATGAAACAGCACTCAGTGGAAACACTAACGTTTTCTACTATAGCTATGTAAATATATATATATATATATGCCAATAACAATAACACTTTCCGCTCTGCTCCTAAACCAAAAGCAAAGATATAGATCTAATATAATTACTCCTTCTAATTCGCATTCACAGCTGAGATAGGTAAAGCTTGCGTAATGGACTCGATCTATGAATGTATGGGGATATCGTGTAGATTTAACTAATTAAAATAGAGATTGCGGTTGGTTTTAGTTGATGCTGGAGTTTATTTTTGTTTTTATCGATAATATCCATACTAGGCGATACGAATGGTAGGTAGTGTCTTGGCTCCGTTCTCTTTTTTCGGGTCTATATATATACTCGTAGATAGTTCTTTGGTACACGGCTAAAGGCTACGCAATATAATTGGTTTAATCGCAATGCATGTAACTACAATTTACATGTACATATGTCTATCATATCTGTATTATCTGTGGTGTATCGTTTATTGCTCTACATATAGTATCCGTATCTGTATCTATACTTCCAGCGCCTTCTCTGATGGATGTCAATGGGTTATGTACAGTGTGACGTGACTGCGTGTGGTCGTGTGATGGATGCTCATGTTTAACTAACTATAACAGGGACTAGCTTATATAACACAGTGCACTCTGGGTCCAAAGCAGCGTTCAATTAGTTCATTATTCGTTTTTTAATGCAGTTACTATCTCCTAGCCCCTCCTCGATATCATCACATTCGCGCGCAGGGTTGAAACTAATGACTGATGGAGGGCTTGGGATGAAGCAGTGCCTCAGGAAGTAGTCTACGTTCTGCAGCTTCGACCGACAGAGAGAAAGTGACGGGCAGAAAGCTCTTAACGGGGGGGAAGAAAGGGTGTTTGTGTGTGTGTTTTCTAACGATAAACTTTAGTTTAGTTCGAGTTTGAAAAAGGATCGAGCTAGTGAGTTTAGAGAGAGTTTTAAGAGAGTTTACAAAGTACGCTATACCAGCTGACTTTTAAATGCATCCACAATTTGAGTATAGCGGCAACCTAATTACACAATACACATAAATATCAAATAATTTGCATTTTGCATTGCATTTACATGGTGTCATTTACAAATGTGTGTGTGTGTGTGTTGTATTGTTGTGTGTATATCGTGTGAATTTTAGAAATACTGCATAGTTGGTATTGGTTTGGTATCGGTATCGGCATCGGTAGTATACAAAATAGTAGACAGTGCTTTTGGTAATTTCTTGCTGTGTTTCGGCTTTCCATTTTCGCTGCAGGTAAATAGTACAGGTAGCCTTATCTGCATCTGAAGATCTGTGTGTGTGTTCTGTGGGCACTGTTTAGAAAAAGCTCTTCAAGAAGCCAGCTGGCCCAGCCTAAAAGAGGGGGAAAATTGATTTTAGTCAAGTTAAAATTTTATTTATTTTGAAAGCTTACATCCTGCTGATGCTGTTGTTGCGTTTGTGCTTGTTTGACTTTGGCTTGAGCGATCTTTAAGGCTCTGGAATGGATATATATATGTTTAGTCTCTTTTTTTTAAGGTAAGGATATATTAAAGACTCACTGTTGCAAATCCATGATGGTCTTCTCCTTGGCATTCTGCTCTTCCTGCGACATTTGTACCAATTGCAGCAAGCGTTCCGTTTCGGTTGCCGCCTTCTTGTGCTCTTCCTTTGTGTTTTGCAGCTCCTTGACGCATCTGAAAAGTGTAAAGTATTATATATTTATTATAAGTTTTTAAATTTTTGAATTTAATAATAAGTTTTGATGTGAAATATAAGACTAATGTGTGCTAAAAAATAAAATATAACTTCTAATAAACGATTTCTGATTCAAAAAACCTTCAATGAGATAAGCAACTTACGCTTCCAGTTGACGCTGCGTGTCCATGAGCTTCTTGTTGAGCTCTCCGGCAGCTGCCGCTCCGCCACCTTGCGTCTGGAGTGACTTCTCCAGCTGGTCCATCTGCTCCTTGCGCTTGCGCAACTGTACATCGAACTCGGCCATCTTCTTCTCCTTGTCCTCGATGTCCTTGCGCTTGGCATCGATCTGCTTGCGCTGCTCGTCGATGATCTTCCGCTCGCCCTCGGTGGCCTTGGCCTGGTTGTCGATCTGCTTGCGCACCTCCTCCAGCTGCTTTTGCTGCTGCTCCAGCTGTTGGCGCTGTACATCAGAGGCTCCGGCTCCCGCGCTGGCCGCCTGCTGCAGTTGCTGCATTTGTTGCTGCAACTGTTGTACCTGCTGCTGCAGTTGTTGTACTTGTTGCTGGGAGGTTTGAAGCTGCTTGGCCTGCTCCTGGTTTGACATCTGGCTCTTTTCCAGCTCCTGGACCAGGAGTTCTAGCTGCTGCTGGAAGCGATCCCGCTCTGTGCAGGCTGCCTGCAGCTCGCCCTTGACCTTCTCCAACTCTTTGGGGTCCGCTCCGCCAGCGCTGGCCGCTGCCTGTGGCTGCTGTGCTGCCTGCAGTTGCTGCGCCGCCTGTTGTTGCTGCGCTTGCATCTGTTGCTGCATCTTTTGCATCTGGGCATGCTGGTCCTTGATGTGTTGGTCCATAAGCTGCACAGTCAGGAACATGGGGAATTGTTAGGAATTATCTTATTAATTAAAGGATTTCTTGTTTTACTAAAATGTATCAATTGAATCCAATATTGGTTTTAAAAGAGCTGTAACATTTAGAACTGTGTAAGTGTATTTATCAATAAAAATAATAAAAAATAATTAAAGCTTTGGGAACTTCCATTTAATATAAGAATAAGTAACAGTAACATTAATTGACTTGCTCTTGTAACGCTTAACAAAATGATATAACTACCAAATGATAATGTGAAATACTTACATACATTGGCATTAAAAATGTGTGAAAATTAGTGACTTGAAAAATATATCAGAGTATTATGTTGTGTGACACATATAGTACATAGTATATAAAATATCAGATATATGTTTATTTTTGGTGATGTGCTGTTTCTCTTTGTTAACTGCTGCTTCGAAACCAACTCAATCCTCACCTGAATCCGCTTGTGCATCTCCTGGGCCGCCTTGTCGGCCATGTCGGCGCGTCCCTTCTCCTGCTCGATGACCTTGCGCCACTGCTCGATCTCCTCGCGACTCGCACCGGCCGCCGCTGCAGCCTGAGCCTGCTGAGGACCGGCAGCTGCCAGGGCTCGCTCCGATTCCTGGAGCTTCTGCTGCAGCGCCTGGATCTCCTTCTGCATGGCCTGGATCTCGGCGGGAGAGGCTCCGGCGGGTGCTGCAGCTGGCGGTGGCACTTGGTGGCCATTCCTCAGCTTGCGATTCTCCTCGCGTGTCTTTTGCAGCTCCGCCTCGGCGTTCTGCAGCTCCTTTTGGAAGTTCATGAGGATCTCCTGACTCTTCTCCAGCTGCAGCACCAGTTGCTCCCTCTCCATGGCCAGCTGCTTGACATCGGACTCGAGCTTCTGGACATGCTTCTCCAGCTGCGGATGTGGAGCGGAACCGGCTCCAGTTCGGCTGGACTGACGCAGTGCCTCGCGCTCGGCCTCGGCCTTCTCGAGACGATCGTGCAGGCGTCCCAGCTCGGCGCCCATGCGCTCGAACTCGATCCGCGTGGACTCGGTGTTCTCCTGCTGCTTGGCCAGATGCATTTGCGCCTTCTCCAGTTCCTTGGCCAAGCGACCGGCCTCCAGCTCGGTGGCGTCGCGCGACTGCAGCGCCTTCTCGAGGCGATCGCGCAGCCGATCGATCTCCTGCCGTTCGCCAGCGGACAGAGCGGAAGAGGAGGACGTCGACGCTCGGACCGGATCGCCGGGGCTCACCGAGGACTGTTGCAGGCGCAAACGATCGACCTCCTTCAGCAGCTTCTCGTGCTTGTCCCGGGCCTTCTCCCGCTCGATGTGGGCCCGCTCCAGCTCGGAGCGCTGCTTGTCCTGGTTGGCCAGCAGCTTGGCCACCTCGCCCTTGGACAGCTCCAGCTGCAGGCTGGTCTCGTGCAGCTTCGACTCCATGTTCTGCACCTCATTTTCGATCTTCTCGTACTTGTCCTTGTACTTCTCGAACGACTCCGACTCGTACTGCGACTTGCCCCGGATCGTCTCCAGCTCCATGAGCGTCTTGTCCAGCTTCTCACGCAGTCGCTCGTTCTCCTCCTTGAGGCGTCGCGTCTCCCGCCCAAAGGTGTCCGTGTCCTGGAGCTTGCGCAGTTCCACCTGGCTCTTCTCATACCGATCGCGCATCTTTTCCAGCTCCACGGCATAGTGGGCGGCCTCCTCCTTGGCGGCCTCCACACTGGCTCCCGCCTTGGTTTGAGCGGCATGTGCCCGCTCCAGCTCGTAGGTAACCCTTTCCAGCTCCGACTGGAAGTGCTCCTTCTCGCCCTGGGCCCGCCGGATGTCCGTCTGGAGCTTGTCGAAGCGATCGCGACTGTGCTCCAGCTCGCTGCGCGCATTATCCTCGCACTCCTTGGCGCGGCTCAGCTGGAGCGCCGCCCGATCGCAGGCCTCCTGCAGCCGTGTGCTCTCGTCTTGAAGCTTGCGCAGATCTTCGCGAGCCTTGCCGGCTGCCAGGCCAGACCGCTCCGCTTCCACCTCCAGGCGAGCACGATCGGCTTCGGCCGTATCGCAGCGGGACTGCAGGCGATAGATCTCGTTCTGGGCGCGGTCGTACTTCTCCAGCATCTTTTCGAACTCCTTGTTGGAAGTGTCCTTCTCGTCGATCAACTTCTGGCTGGCGTACAGGGCCTTGTCCAGCTTCTCCTTTAGGATCTCCACCTCGGTGACGGCGTCATCGCGCTCCATCTGGAAAATAGTTAGCACAAGGTAGGGGGGATTAGGTCACTGGGGGAGTTCATTAGCGGGCAGCGGGATGCGTGGGGAAGCTACGGATTTACATATACAGCCAATTCACTGGTAGTTCAGTTCAGTTTTCATGCGCTTTTTTTGTTCGAAACAATATGCAGTACAGACAAGTCATGGATTATATAGTATAGAGTGGGTTTAAGGGTTGGGTTTTGGGGTGATAGCCAATTGTTTTGGGTTTCGTTTTGTTTTTTTGAAATACCCTGGGATACCTGAAGAAGATCGAATCGTTAGAGCTTTGGGAGGGGGAGAGGGTCAATTACCTGTAGTTTCTGCTGGATGGCATGCGACTTTTCGTAGCGCTCCTTGAGTACTTCCAGATCTGTTTGCATCGCCTCCCTGTCGCGGGCGGCCTTCATCAGTAGGGTATTCGAGGACTCTGAGCGCTCCTTGAGCGTCTCCAGCTCGTCGGAGAATTGATCCCGCTCCTTCTGGATGCGCGCCAGTTGCATCTGGGATTCGTAGTTGTGCGTGAGAGTGTGTGTGTGTGAGGTGTGACGGTCGAAAGATAGTTACGCATACGTAGAGATATATGTTAGGGATAAATAGTTATATTTATATACAAGGCGCGTTAGGGGGTTGGGTTCTTAGGGTTAAGCAATAGCAGTCACATCGATCTAAGCGAGGCTTCGGTATGTTTAGAGTAGTAGTTAATGGGTAGTAGTTAGTCTATATAGTTTAGGGTTTATCTCAGGGGGGTTAGTTAGCACAACAAAGTTACGTATACGGTCACAGACAGGTATCGGTTAGCTAGTCACTTCGAAGATGTGGGTGTGGCTCAGATTGTGTTGGTGGTGGTGGGTTCGGACGGCTTGGATGGGACCTGGGCATACCTGCGTCTTCTCCAGCTTCTCGCGAATGCGATCCGTGTCCAGGGTAAGAGTCTCGCGCTCCTTCTGAATTCGGGCCGCCTGACCCAGCGCCTTGTCCAGCTGCGACTGAAGGTTGTCGTAGTCGTAGGTGAGCTTCTCCTTCTCCAGCACCAGGCGACGGTTCTCTGTGCCCATCTTGTCCAGCTTGTCCTGCAGGTGATCGACCTCGTTCTGGGCCTTGTCCAGCGAGTTCTGCAGCTTCTCGTGCTGCAGCTGCGACTTGCCCAGCGTCGCCTGCGTGCGCTCCATCTCCTCCTTGATCTTTTCCACCTCGGAGAAGGCCTGTGCAACGGATGGTGGTTTTGGGTGAGTGAGTGAGTGTGGAGTGGTTGGGTGGTTAGGTGGGTCTTCAGGGGTTTCGGTTGGGTGGTGCTTAGCTAGCTAAACGGTTTTGCCTACCCGGTCGCGATCGGCGTGGATGCGCGAGACGCCGCTCTGCGCCTTCTCCAGCTCCTGGCGCAGACTCTCCTGCTCGCCCTGGGCGTTCTCCAGCTTCGCCTTGAGCCGGTATACCTCGCCCTGGCTCTTCTCCAGCTTCTCCTGCAAAGCGGCCGCCTCTTCACGTGCCCGCTCCGCATCCGACTGTATTATGGTTTCCGTTTCGTTGGTTGGTTTTCATTATCAATCGATCGATCGTTGTTGAATCGATGGGTTTATGATGTTGTTGTTGTTGTTGTTTCGGAAGGGGTAGAGTGGATGTTGGATAACGGATATTATTTACAGGCCATCATGGGGGACTAGGTTCTTAAATGACTGATTCGACTGACTGACTGACTGGATGTCTGACCGATTAGTAGACACAAATCAAAGGTTAAGGTGACAAACGACAAATACTAAGTAACGATAATTAATACTTAAATTACGATAACGATTACGAACACGTTTACAACGTCTAGCGAGCGAGCGAGCGAGAGATAGAGAGAGAGAGAGAGGAATAGCGAGCGATTTATGCTGCGAGCGGCTGACATTTGATAAGGAGAGAGTTAGAGAGCGAGCGAGAGATCACAGGAAGCAAGTGAAATGAAGAGGAAAGGAACTCGTTGGTTAGGAGATCACAGGAAGCGAGAGTTAGGTTTCAAGGGTTTAAGGTTCTTACGGTTTATTTGGAATACTAGAATCAAGAACTGTTTGATAAATATATTTTTTACACAAGGTTACTTAAGGTTTTAAGAAAAAACAAGAATTAATTAAGAAAGAAAGAGACTATTTGGAAAGTTGTATCCAACTTTTCGTTTCCCAAGGATTAATATTGTTTAGATTTGTATAATGAAGTATTAGTTAAAAGTTATCTATAATTTTTAGGATCCTTGGTAATCTTTTAAGATACAATTTTGGATGGAAAGAATGAGTTGGAAATGTGTCTAGTTCTTGATTAGTTACCAAAAGGTAAACTAAATTGTTGAAAGATAATTCCACTTGAACTTTTGATTAATAGACAAGAAAATTCATTCAGGAAAAATCAAGGAAATCTAATGAAATATTGACGGGTTAAGGGGGTTTAGAATGGGTTGGGAAATGGGTTACGACTTGGCAAACAGATGGACTGAAGAACCTTGAGTTCCAGATGAGTTCAGGATGAAGTAGACAACCACAGATGGCTCATTAGTGCAAGAGGGAAATTAAGAGGAGCGAGAGAGAAAATAGCGTGAGTTGATTGAGGAAAAGAGTGAAGGTGCGAGAGCAAAGTAAGGCAAAGTGTGCGTAATGTGTGCGCTTGTGTGGGAGAGCGAGTGAAAGTGACAAGGCAGTTCAGTCAATTAACTGAGGCCATAAGCCAGTTTCCGCTTTTCTTTCGGCTTCTTCCTTCTTTGGACCTTTATTTGAAGCTTACAGTGACAGAGTGAGTGTGTGGGTCGCGATGTGTGTGTGTGTCCAGAGGCAAAACGCTCCAGGATACTTTGTCATACTTTGCTAGCTTCCGGCTTGGGGCAGGCTTTTCGTAGCGAGGAATACACCGGAACTGTGACGGATAAGCTCTAGGCAGTTTCCCCACCAAGGTCAATCGATGTATATATGTACAATGTGTATGTATGAATGCTTTATATATATAGTATGTGTGTTGTGTGTTCACGAAGGATGTTTTTTTATGCTTATATGGCGGCAATGTTAGTATATTCACAGGCAATATGCAAGTTACATTAAATTGAACAAGTGACAGATTGCAACTAGCTTTGGTTTGGTTTTAATATTTTTTTGGTTTTTTTGTTTTGGGTTTCTTTGGATTACTTTGGCATAGTCAGATGCAGTAGTTCGAGTTGGCAATCGAATTTAATTACGGTTAGTTGCTTTACTAAAAACTTGTTTGATTGATTGATTGCTTGGAAGCGGTTTACTCACAAAACGTTTTTCAAAGTCGCCCTATATATAGAGAATGAATGTAAGCACAACGGTTTGGATAGAGTTTTGGTTTTAGTATACATTGTCTCAACGGTGGCTTTCGCATAAATAAGTTCTTTACAATTTACATAGAGTTACTAAGACATTTACAAGTTACAGTTACTGTTACGTTAAAGTTAAAGTTAAAGTAAAGGTTACGAAAGAAGCAATAGAACATAAAAGTAGCTCAAATCGAGTTTATAAACTCAAAGTCCTCTGCATGAGGACTCTAAAGGTGTGTGTGTGTGTGTGTGTTTGTTGTGGCGGCAAGTGCTCGGGTGGTGTGGCTTTAGCATGTTGCAGCGGAAAGAGGTGTACGAGTTCGTGTTTGTGTGTGTGTGTAGGGGGAAGGTGTCAATCGGAAAAGTCTCCTCATCGCGGGGGGCGAAAGTTTTTGGTCCATCAACAAGGCACACGCACGCCGAGATACATGGAAACGAGTATATACACACACAGAGATTGTTGGCATTTGCCTGAGCAATGCAGTTTCAGAGTTCGTTTCATACATAAAATATTTATATTTATATATTTATATATGTATATGTAAGGCTAACTAAAAGAGCATTCGTATATGCATATCGATATATGTATATGGCTGTCTCGATTCGCAGGCAAGTGTGGGTTCAAGTGGACCATACCTGAGTGACCCTCAGCTCGGCCTGAGTGCGTCGCAGCTCGGCGGAGGCCTTGTCCGCCCGCTCCTGTGCCCGATCCAGTTCCTGTGACGTGGTCATCGTGGTCCTGCCGAACGTCGTCTGTTGCGTGGACGAGAGACGGGCAAATTAGTGGTTTGAACATGACCAGAAGGAGTTTCAAGGATAACAAAGTGCAACGAAACAACAATCGAAAGCGGTTTAAGGCATTAGCAAATGTGTGGTGAGTGTTTTTGTTTACAAGATGAAGATGATGATGATGGTGCTCGGATGAGTCCAGCAGGCGAGCTGTCAATAATGGATCCAATCCATGAAGCTGTGAATGATTTAATGAGACTTTTGCTTGACTTTTTGTTTGTGCTTTTTGAGTGCATTTGACGCTTGGTTCTCTATATTTAATTCATTCGATCTTGGTATCGTGGCGTGAGCTTTTTTTTTTGGATCTAAAAACTGGCCATATAATACGCTGGGTAGGGAGAAAATGACAGTTTTTGAGCGGGTGAGCGGTGGGGGTCTTCGTATATGAATAGCCCCATTTGCGAACTAGTAGGCTGGGTCAGCGGCTTGGCCGACTTACCGATATCTTGCCCGTTTCGAACATTAACTTTTGTACATTCTGCAAGAGTACGGATACGGAACATATTTATATATATCTTAATCTTAGGCCACGCCCTCAGGTGTGACTCCGGTATGTGTAGGTGTGCATGTTCGGTGGCAATCAATTCAACTTATTCACACCTCCGTTTGTCTGCACACCGATTAAATCAAAACCCAACTAGGCGAGTGCTGCTAATCCCTTCTAAGTATCTAAGTATCTAAGTGCGCAATATGTCAGGGCTTTATCGGATCTGAAATCGTTGAAGGTGCTGCCGAGTGCTGCTAAGTGAGACTTCAGCCTGCTGGCTCTAAATGGTGAATGATAATTTAAATGGGGTCTTTGTGTTTTTCGGGTAGCTAATGTGAGTAATATACGATATATATATTTGTGTGGATTTACGATATATAAAAGGTGCGATTTGCATAATAGCGAAATTCGATGTTTTGATATTCGTTGTGTTTACGGTTAACGATAAAAACTAATTACTATAATTGATATTTTTACTTTTATTAGTTACTTTATGTCGGAAAATGGAAGATTGAATTGGATTTACGATCAAATATACTTTTACGATATTCAAGAGCAGCGGTGGGCATGACCATAGAGGCAGAGCACCTGTAATATTGGGGTGGCTCTATGGTATATCTTCTAGGGAAGCCAGAAAATATAGATTTATCCATATCGCATTGATATTTTAGTGGCACAATATATGCGATAAATCAATAATTTTTTGTATTCAATAAAGAATTCTATAAAAAATTGTGTTTAAAAGAAATAAATGAAATAAATATATTATAAATTATAATATATTATACAGGACGTATCCCTAGTTTTGTCTACCCATCGCTGCTCTTCGGTAAAAACTCTCAACAGTTTACAAGAATCAAAGTTGTTATCTACAAAACTACGATTTACGATATTATGCAGTTTATCTAGTTTTGGCAATTGGAAGATTGGAATTCGGATTATTGGGCTTACTTTGTGTAGTGTGGTCTGTTCATCTAGCTGCATCTATATTTGGTTTATGTTGGGTGAGTTTTTTATTTTTTTATATTTTTATTTAGGTCGGTTGGTTGTTGTTGTAGTTGTTGGGTAGTTGGGATGCGTAATGTGTACATGTAAATACATATTCAGATACAGATATAGATATAGATATAGATATAGATATATATAGATATAGATATAGATGTGGATACGGATAGCACATATATGTATGTGTATGCAAATGGGTTCATAGATTATCGATATAGCAGTATGCATGTATGCGTGTCCCTCGATTATATATACACAGCGCACACACATACATACGAACAGATTGATGATAAGTTAGTTGTAGTTTTAGTTATGGTCTTGATTTCTGAGCATATATCCGCGAGGATATGCGGTCTAAACTGGTCATAATGCACGAGTACCTGCGAACGCTCCAGATCGTGTTTCAGCCGCTCGTTCTCCAGCTCCAAACGTGCAATCCTCTGCTTGGTGGACTCCCAATCGGCGCTGCTGCGGCCCATCTCACAGGTGGCCTTCTCCAGCTCCGCCTTGGACTTGCCCAGTTCACTTTGCGAGGCCTCCAGCTTGATCTCGAGCCGCTCCCGCTCGGTCACAGCCCGCTCCAGGCGTGTTTGTAGCTTCTCCACCTCACTTTCGGCAGCGCGCAGCTTAATCTTATAGTCGGCCACCTCACGCTCGTGGAGATCACGTTCCTCCTGTTTCTCGTGCTCGGCTCGATCGCGCTGGTCTCGCAGCTGGGCCATCTGCTTCTCCTTATCGCCAATGGCCTCCTCCAGGCTGGTCAAGGCGCCCTCGGAGCTGCTGTGGTGAGCCTGCATGGCCGAGAGACGGGCCCTCGCCATGTCCACCTGGTTATCCTTCTCCTTGAGCAGATCCTCCAGGTTCTCGATCTACAGAGGGAAGAGATCAGGGATTGAGGATTGTGCAACCAGAAAGGAGAGTTTTCTTTTTTGAATTGAAGGGTTTTCTTCTTTTTCTACAAGTTTATTGAACTTAAAAGATTGAAATACCTTAAGGAGACTTCAAATTTTAATGAGAATATTTAAGTAACCTTCAGGTATAAGTATCTTTTTTAAAACACCTTCAAATCTCAATATATAATACCCAAAATAAAGGGAAACTCTTTACTTTTCTGGCTGCTAGATGGGTTTAAAGAGTCTAACCTTGCGCTGAAGCACACTGATCTTGCGGTCCTTGATGTCCATGTGGTCCTTGATCTCGGTCAGTTCACTGGTGAGGCGGTTCCGCTCCTGCACGGTCTGGAGTGTGCCCTGGGTCTTCTTCTCGATGAGGCGGTTCTTCTCCTCAAGGCGGGCGCGCATCTCCTCGACATCCGTCTGCAGCATATTGTAGTGCTCCTCTTTGGCACATAGCGACTCCTTGAGCACCGCTATGTGCCGCTGGTAGTCCTAACGGATATTACTTTACTGTGCAAACGACAAACTGTGGGGGGGAAGCCCGGCGTTTGGGGGATTAATTTACCTGATGCTGCTCCTCGAGGGTTTTCATTTTGGCCGCCATCGCCAGGATCTCTTGATCCCTTCTCTGTATTTCAAGACGGAATTCGTCCAGCTGAGGTTCGAATGGGAGTTGGAGTTGTGGGTGATTGGGTGATTGGAAAGGAACGAACAAGTACAGATAATTAGATCAGTATATGCTTGGCGCACTGGTAATGCCTGGGCCGGGGATAGATCCTTAGCCAGGACTACAGATACTTGGTGGTTCTTGGTGTGTTCTTGGACTGCTTATTTTTTCTTGCTGCTGTGGCAAACTGAGTGTGAAATGAGCGATTAAGAGGTGCGAAGAGCGAGCTTACGCCTTGTAGAGTATGACTGAGAAGTGGGTGGAGATGGATAATGTCTTTGGGCCCCTCCCCATATCGGTACAGGTACAGGTACAGGTACTGGTACTGGTACAGGTACTCGTTATCCTAACCGCCCTCGTTGGGTGTTATCCTTTTCAGTGTTATCTGTGTGTTATGGTGGGTGTGCGTGTGTATTTCTTGAAGGACTGAACTATATATTTAGTTCTCTTTATAATGGTTCGATTTCTCTTTCCATGAACGACGTTCGGACGTTCGGTTTTCGTATGTAATTTTATTGTTTGCTTTCGAAAAGTTTCCATTTTATAATGCTTACAGCTTAAGTTAAGTTTAACAGATTTCGAGAATATTCTTTGTTGCTTGTCGGAATTAAGTCTGAATGCGATCTTAATTAGGTTTACAGTTAAATCATTGTATAAATAGTACATCCCGTGGGACCATAAATGTATATGCGTATAATCAGAATATTAACCATAATTATTCAAATACAATACAAGTATATATATATATATATAGAGAGTTATGTATAATGTGTGTATATCTTATATCAATATTCAAATGCCTCGTTTCTTGTTCTGTTCGTCGTCTTGTAGAAGAATACAAATAAAAACCGAGTCGAAGGGGTAATCTAAGTAGTTTTTTTTGGCTGAGCAACAACAAGAACAGAAGTTGGAAAAGCTAGTGGATAATAGTATCTTTGTATCTTCTTATCTTTGTATCTACTTATCTATTCACACGCTCGCACCGAAGTGCTGTCTTTCGAATTGGCTAGTGATAAGCTTTTATCTCTCGACTACACTCACATTATTATATATATATATATATGTATATATAAACAATTGAAAAGAGTTTTTATCTATGAACACAATTTCCGTTTTTGTTCTGCGATTGCTGCATATTTTTAGGGGGAACTACCAACTACAATTTGGGTCAAAAAACGAAAGTAACTCCCGGATTCACAACTCCGAACCGAATAGTCTATATTGTATATATTTAACCACTACTTTAACAAGAATTTTTACTTTCTTTGAGAAATATCATCTACGCATTAAATTTCGATTTTTCAAGCACAAATAAAAAAGTTATAGCACGTTTATAATCGATAGTCCGACTTAGAAGTGTCCACTACTCAAAAGAATTCCTCTTATAATTCTAATAAATTTTCAAATTGATTTTAGGCTTCAGAAAACGAACGCTGTTCGGAGAATAAAACTCAACGGGGAATTAGCTCTTCAATATTTTGTATACTTGCATATATCGATGCCTATCGATATCTATCGAGTGTATAAAGCGCTTCTTCGAATACGAAATACAAACACTAGTTGAGTCGAATACATATAGTTCAATATAATATTCGCATAGACACATTTTGAATGCTTCATCGTTTCACTTTGCTGGCTGTGTCTCTCAGACACACAAAAACTAATCCAATCGATCGATGTCAGGCGATCTAACGCGATCTATATCCCGATCCAGATTGCACATATAAATTTCAATGTTTTCGTTCATAATTGACCTTCATTGCTAATCACACGCTAGTTAATAAGTTTATAACTCTTGCATTTGCTTTTGCTGGGGAAGGCTTTTGGGGAGAATTGAAACTTAATGTTACCTAACTTTACGAGGAGGCTGAGGTTGTGGTTGAGGAGGATAAAAGTCAAGTTAGGCTTAAGTTAAACAATTTTTCTACGCAAATGATGCCCACTAATACGAGAGATAGAGAGAAAGTTATAATTGGGTTAGAGCTTCTGGTTAGTTAGGTAGTTAGTAGGTTGCTTGGGTATAGGAGAGGGCCCCGATGGCCTCGGGTTACTATGACCATGCAGGGGCTTCGTTACTTAGTCGCTTACAGATAGATAGAGTGTGTGTCTGTGCTGCTCTAACAATTGGCTAAGTTTTCGAATGTTCATACTAAGTACGAGTTACACTATAGGTTTTGATTTAATAATTTTTAAGCTTCGTTTTGTTTTTGTTTATTTTTGCTTTCACACAAGTTTAAAGTAAATTTTATTTCATTTCGCATTTCTTATCCTGTGTGTGTGTATATATAAATTGTTGTTTAATTAGTGAGTAAATCTCATTTAGTTTTATATACAGTCTTTTACTTTTGAGAGTCAAGAGCAAGGTTCTACAATTTCCACAACAGAAAGTCAAACAATTGGCGTTTTTCCTTTTTTATTTTCTCTGAAAAGTTCTGCCCTGAGTGCTCTATGCAAAGAACCTAAATCAAAATCAAGGATAAGCTTTAATCGTTATATATATTATTTCATATCATATCATATCATATCTTTTCGCTTGTTTCGTTTCTTTACGCTTTTTCTGTTGCTACTTTAAAATGGCACATGAAACAATAGTTCTCTTTCTTCACTCTCCGCTGCTTAGCCTAGGTCTACTAAGAGTATTCCGATTTATTATCATATATCTTGTATATATATTGTATGTATAATACTTGGTGTCTTATCTTCTCCCTACGCGAGAACCGTTCACTGCCAAGGGCTCACTGGTTGATGCAGAGGAAAGCGTTAAATGCAGATCGGCCTGCCATCTCTATATAGAGAATGGACAGATCTTCTTCCAATGGGGTTCGATCTCTGATTGTTATATATATAGAGGATGACTTGATGGTTTTTTGGTGACGAGTTGAATTTCGATTTGTTAAGGGGATTTCAAATTGTTCAAATTGTTTGAATTTTTTCGATTTTCAGGGGTCTCTGTTTATTCAGATTTCGGGACAGGGTCTATGATTACTTCATGTTTTTTTTTTTTTTTAGGAGTCTAGGGATAGCGTGTCTACGTCAAATTTAAAACTTACTTGTCGCTTATGCTCTTGCGGCAGTTTCGGGTAATCTAAGTCTAGTTTCGAGTATGGCAGATGGTGGTGATGGTGAGCTTGATGTCCCTGCGGCCCCTGCGCCTGATGGTGCGTATGCGAGTGCGGATATGCCGTGTGATGCGAGTGATGCGAGGAGTGATGCGGATGCGAGTGCAGATGCGAATGCAGATGCTGATGCGGATGCTGATGCTGATGCGTGTGGCCATGATGCAGTCCCTCCGCATAATCCCTGGCGCTGCTGGCCAGCGTTCCGCCGAACGGTCCCGCCGTATTGGCCAGCGCCGCCAATGGGTGCGTCTGCAGGTGATTCTGATGCTGGTGCACATGGTACTGGTACTGCGGATGCATCTGCTGCTGCACGGATGCCTGGATGTGCGAGTGTCCTAGCGGCGGCCCCTGGGCACTGCCTCCGTAGTGCTGCGTTCCGGCGAATTGCTGCTGCAGGTTGTAGGCCAGGGCCGCTGCTCCGGCGGCTCCTGCTCCGGGCACCTGGTTTTGGTAGTACTGCGAGATGGCGGGATTGGAGGCGTGCAGCGATTGGGCCAGCAGCTGACGCTGCTGGAAGGGAGCCAGGGGATTCCCATAGCCACTGGCAACCCCCAGGTCGCTCTGGTAGGGATTCCCGTAGCCCCCCCCATACTTGCAGGCCCCGTAGCCCGTTGTGGTGGGATAGCTGGACACCAGATTCGTCACGGAGTACGCCGGACGCAGTCGCGCCGCCGCCGCAGCGGCACTCTGGGCCGCCGTCAGCTGTGTGGGCAGGACCTGCTGCGCCTGTGCCGAAGGCTGGAAGTACATATTCGGCTGCGAGGAGAAGCTCTGGGACATCTGCATCAGGTTATCGTTGAGGTACGGCGGCGAGGTGTCACCCGGGTGCAGCGTCGGGTAGCTGGACACAACGCGGCCCAGGCCCATTCCTCCCACGCCTCCCAAAGGCGTCGTTACCAGCTGTCCCAGCTGGCGAGCCTGGTTCGTGAGATTAAGGATCTGCGAGCTGCGCGATATTGACTTGTGGGCCTCGTTCAGCAGGTTCACAATGTTCGAGGAGCTGGTCTGGTGCAACGGTGGCGCCGGATAGCCATAGACATCGTTATACATGGTGGCCGAGGGCAGGCCAGCGATGCTGTAGCGTCTCCTACGAATAGGCGAGGTCTGGCACTGGCCCGTTCCATAAAGCTGGGCATTGGACAAAGGATCGTAGAGGCCGCCATAGCCGCCGGCGGTGGCAGAGGTCGAGGGTCCGTACAGATCGTAGGCGGGGCCGTAACCGTTGCCCGACACTGAGCCGTAGGGCAGAGACCCGGGACCCAGGACCGTGGGACCCGGGCCGTAGTACTGGCCGATAATGTCCGGCAAGGGGGGGCTGCTTCCGGCGATGCCCGAGTAGTTATTGTACATCTGAAACGGGGCGATTTCAAATGGTGGTTGCTGTAACTGCTGTGACTGACTGACTGACTGGTTGGGTTAGTTGGTAGTTGGTACTTGGTAGTTGGTACTTTGGCTGTTTCTGTGGTGTCTAGAGAGCTCTCTGGGTCTGTTATATTGTTGGGTCTGGTGTTATATATATCTGTTATCTTTTAACTTTCACTCGACATTCCGGCTTCGATGTGCTCACAGCTTGATTTGGTATTGGTTTTAGTTGAAGTTTATGTTTTGGTTTCAGTTTAAGTTTAAGTTTAAGTTTTAGTTTTGTTTCTGGTTTAAGTTTTAGTTTTAGTTTTGTTTCTGGTTCTGGTTCTGGTTTCTGGCTTTTCGTGTGGAGCGTGATCATGATCGTGGCTTAACAAACATTAGCTATCTATATATATAGAGGTTACATTATATATATGTATATATATAAATATTCTTGAATTGGATTACAATTTAACATAGCGAAAGCGATTTTTGCCCGAAACACTTACGGACTATTCTGGCCCC